GGCAAATACACACTTGGCTGCGTGGGCGGGGGGATTGGCATACAGTGTATCTCCATCCCACTGACAGGCCCAAACTTGCACCGAGAGGCCATGGGTTGACTTTCTTACCCGCCTGATCAGGAGCCGATTGCCAGGACCTCAATAAGCATGCACAAGTGCTATAAAGCATGTAAATATGTGCGTCGAAGAATTAGGTCATTGGCTAAAATGTACCGCGGCACATATTGCTTTTAGCTGGGTCTTGGCTGATTGTTGCTGAGCAATTTTTAAATCTCAGCAGCTGATAGTGGGCCTAGGGGCCCAATTTCACTGCGTCTACTACCCAGAGTTTTGAGCTGACTATAATCATTTTGTGCACAGAACGCTATTGCACTTTATATGCATGTGCATTCATAACCAAAATTTCCTCGCTGAACTAAAATTTCCGTAACAGCTTGAGACGATTTTCCCCTAAAGGTAAGCAGAGCCATGAAAATGGGTCCAGCATGCTTACCTTGTCTGGAACATGTGATACAGCACTGGGTATGGGTCAGCTGAGCTGGGTGGCCCGGTGACTTTGGCAGTAGTGGGGAAAGCCTTGATCGGTGGTTGTACCTTCATCCACACAGAACCAGAAAGTGGTACAATGTAATGAACTTTGGAACCATAAAAGCTGGACAATTTTTGCAAGAATGAAAATGCAGAGTTTTGATCTAGCCATATCCCTGCAACAGGTTATACCCCGTGTCATCACTTGCCATCTAAAGCCACAAGCTACAAAACTGACAACTCCTTAGCGTTTCCCTTCAATTCTCTGTCACAGCTTGTCCAACATTACATACAACCAGGTGTGGAATCTGACTCACAACTGACTTGTAATTGACTTGTGATCAAGTAGATTACAACTTTCTCGGGAACCACAAAGCAGAGTGTTTTAATACTTGGAATGTTTCACTTGTCACATTAACTTGTATCAAACCATGAGGAGGCTCTAACAGATCCTGTACGGCACAGTTTGAATAACTGTGTGCGCATGCAAATCGAGGGTCATGACGGCTACAACCCACACTTGGAAAGGAAGGGTCCAAAACGAGTCAGGGTTCTCTTCTTTCTTTGATAATTTTCAAAATTCTTTTTTATCACACATGTATTCGCTCCACCCAGGAGTAGTGGGTACCTGTGAGGACAGATATGGTTACCAGCATCGGGCTAGTATACTCCCCAGGGAGCTGAGATGGTGTCAGGAATGTTCAGATGATGTGAGCCCAATGTGCAGGGATACTGATAACATATCGGCACCTTTCCATTACAGATACAGTGAGATACTGTGCACTGTATAAATACTTTGATATTATTCTTACAAATGGGTCATTAGGGAGACATTTTGTGGTAAATTTTTAAACCTTAGGGAGACATCGGTCATTACCAGAAGGTAACTACCAGAAGGAGGCCGAATTTTACCGTCCCAATTTTGAGAGATGATGGATTAGGGTCTAAATTGAATACATACCAAGTTTGGTTCAGATCAGAATAGGGAATATTTAATTATGGGACAGTAAAGTTTGTGCATGTTCCTATGGGAATGGTCCCCCAAGTGACCCATTTTCAGTAATCCATATAACTTTTTATTGTTACTTGTTGCATATCTTACTTTTAATATGAGATTTCTCCTCCTTATTCTGCAATTCAGCAATGGTAATCTCATCGCATTTCAAAACAGTTTTGTTTATTTTCTTGACTTCTTGATATTTAAAGATTTCTGTAATATTTTCTTCCATTTGGCTTTCTATTACTTCTTCAATACAGTCTTATTTGTCATTTGAAGCAAGATATGGGACGGAGAGAACCCCCCCCGCCTTTGT